CATCTCTGGAAGGTGTGAGGGGATTTAGAAAGGCAAATGAAATAGGAAATTTGGTAATCAAAGAAATTTTTTAAATATTTTAATATTTTCAAATCAACTTTCTTGAATATCATCCCAAATCTTCATGTACTATTTAAATTAATGTCATAGACATAAAGTATCATTTTAAGTAACCAATGAGTGTAGTCTCTGAATGCTGAAGAAAGCATAAAGATTAACCTTTTTTCTGAAGATGAAAAAGAACAACCTTACCAAGAAAATAGATAACTTAGTTTAGCTTTAATACCTGGAAAAATATCCAGGCAAATCATTGATCAGCTAGTTTGTATTTATTCCCAGTAATTTGTAGAATTTGTTGGTTTTTTAAAAACCAACATGGCATTGTGAAGAGAAAAAAATTCACTCATTTAATCTAAGACTAAGACGAATTGAGATTAAAGTGGGCTAATGTGTTGATTCATTTCTCCTGAATAATGATAATAAAAATTATCTGCTCTGACATTTATTGAGGACTGACTGTAAACCTGGCATTTTGCTAAGCACTCTCTATACATCTCATATAACACTGTTGTTATGTGGAGTACACATTATATTACACGTGACAACATTTCACAGATGAGAAAAGGAAAGCTTAAAGAGTTTAAGTAATGTTCTAAGACCAAGTCGTGGACTTTGATTTCAAACTCAGAACTGGCTCACGACCTCTTAACCACTAGGTTTGCTGGAAGTCAGGACTGGTATTCCCCAGGCTCACATTCTCTAGTCCTCTGAACTTTAAGTTGTATCTAGTGGGTTTTGGGTATTTAGTTCATTCTGTAGCAGCTGGATCTTCCACATGATATAATCTCCAAATTGTTCAACAAAGACATTGTTGTTAATAGAGTCCACTGGGGTCAATTAAAGAATCAAAGTCAAAGGGGAGAAGAGGGTGATATTTTGACCAGAGAGGAAAAGGCCAAGGATTTAATTTGGGAAGACTCTTTTTAAAAAATGTATTTAAACATTTATTGTGCTCAAAATTTAAATAAATCCAAAAAATTAAATAAATCATGTAACTCGCTTTATAAAGTACAAAATAATTCATCACCTTCCTTTATTATTTACCCCTTATTTTATCTGAATGTTTATAGCTAAGATTTTCTTAAAGTAGGTTACCCATGATTACAGCTGCCTGAGAGACCTGTCTTGTGGCATGTATATATGTTTCACTGAAGGCAATTTGGGAATGTGTGTTGGATCAAGATTCAGAAAATGTAGACTTGGATTTTCCATTTATTATGCTAGTAAACTTAGTCAATCAGCTTACTCTCTCTCAGCCTTATTTTCTCAAGTCTGAAATGGGGATAGTAATACCAGTTTATCAGTACTTCCTGCACAGGATTCTCATACAGAATTAGATTCATTTATGTATTTGAAAAATATGAAATCCTATATCCAAGGAAAGGATTGGTGTAATTACTGAAAAGAAGAAATCCTAGTGTACTTCAGGATCTTTTACCACCATTAGCATCACTTTAAGGTAGAGGAAATGAAAGCTGTGTCCATGCATGTTAGAAGTAATGTTTTCCCTTTTTGTATTCATTTTAATTTTTTAAAATGTTATTTTAGATTCAGGAAGTACATATGCAGGTTTGTTACATGGTGTGTTTTTGCACTGCACTGTGTTTTGCATTGCTATAAAGGAATACCTGAGACTGGGTAATTCATAAAGAAAGGAGGTTTATTTGGTTCATGGTTCTGCAGGCTATACAAGCACGACACCAATATCTTCTCAGCTTATGAGGAGGCCCTAGGGAGATTTTACTCATGGTGGAAGGTGAAGGGGGAGCAGGCATGTCACATGGTGAGACGGAGAAAGAGAGATGCTAGGCTCTTTTAAACGTTCATATTTCACAGTACTAATAAGAGTAAGAACTCATTCATTACCATGGGGAGGGATCTGTACTAATAGAGTAAGAACTCATTCATTACCAAGCCATTCATGAGGGATCTGCCCCAATGACCCAAGCATCCCCTACTAGGCCCCACCTCCAACACTCGGGATTACATTTCAACATGAGATTTAGAGGCGACAAACATCCAAACGATTTCACATGGATGTATTGTGTAATGATGTGGTTTGGACTTCTAGTGAAAGCATCTATAATCCAAATAGTGAACATTGTACCCATTAGTTAATCTTTCAACCCTCACCTTCCTCCCACCCTCCCACCTTTTGGAATTGCCACTGTCTATTATTTCCATCTGTATGTCCATGTGTACCCATTGTTTAGTGAGAACACGCAGTATGTGATTTTCTGCTTCTGAGTTATTTCACTTCTGATACTCTTCTAAAAGTGAGAATTCAGGTTTTCTGATAGGTATACCATTAGATGATAATTGTACTCTTTAGCATCTGGAATCAAAGTTTATACTGGTTTGCTCAGCCAAAGCTCTTAGCTCTGGATCTGGTTTGGAAGAAATAGAGCAGTCTATTCTCATCTGGACCAATCCTGGGAAACATCCTCATTTCAATGAACTTGTAAGTTACATCACAGGTTTTTCGTCTGTTTTGTTTTTCTGTCACCACACTTCCCCATCCAATGGCTCTTATGGAAGAAAGCAATGTACAGAACAGGCACCAAAGTAATATTTATTGAATGCAGTAGGTGGCAACAGTAGGTCTTTTTTTTTTCTTTTTTGAGACAGTCTCTCTCTCTCTCTCCTCTCTCTCTCTCTCTCTCTCTCTCTCTCTCTCTCTCTCTCTCTCTCTCTCTCTCTCTCTCTCTCTCTCTCCTCTCTCTCTCTCTCTCTCTCTCTCTCTCTCCCCCCCCCCGGCCCCGCCCCAAGCTGGAGTGCAGTGGTGCAATCTCTGCTTACTGCAACCTCCACCTCCCTGGTTCAAGCAATTCCCCTGCCTCAGCCTTCCGAATAGCTGGGATTACAGATGCATGCCACCACACCTGGCTTTTTTTTAATTTTTATTTTTAGTAGAGATGGGGTTTTACCACATTGGTCAGACTGGTCTCAAACTTCTGACCTCAGGTGATCCACCCACCTCAGCCTCCCAAAGTGCTGGGATTACAGGTGTGAGCCACTGTGCCGGGTCTTTTTTTTTTTTTTTTTTTGCGGGGGGGCGGGGACGGGGACAACATCTCACTTTGTTACACAGGCTTAAGTGCAAATAGCACAATCACAGCTTACTGCTGCCTCAACCTCTAGGCTCAAGCAATCCTCCCACCTCAGCCTCCTGAGTAGCTGGGACCACAGACATGTGCCACTGCACCCAGCTAACTTTTGCAGCTTTTGTAGAGATGGGGTTTTGCTATGTTGCCCAGGCTAGTCTCAAACTCCTGAGCTCAAGCAATCTTCCAGCCTTGGCCTCCCTAAGTGTTGGGCCTATAGGCATGAGCCACTGCACCTGGTTAGAAGTCTTAAATGACAAAAAGGAGTGAGCTAGATGAAAGAGAAAAAGGGCATTTCAAGTAGAGAGCATAACATGTACAAAAACTGGGCCATGTGAACTGTTTAGGAAACTACAAGTGGCTGGGGGTGGCTAGAGGAAAGGCAATGTGATAGACAGGTAGTGCAGCTTGGCCACAGCCACGGCCAGGACTCTAGAGCCTGCCAGCTTTGGTTTGAATCCTAGTTCCACTTGTCTCAGCTGAGTGTCTTTGGGCTAGTTATGCAGCCTTTCTGTATCTACCTCATGGGGTTTAGAACTGTTAAATGAATTATGGTATCTTAAATGGTTAAACTATTGCATAATACAGAGAGTACTCCTACTATTAATATTGTTATTGTGAATGGTGAGATAGGCAGGGAACAGGTCCCAGAGGCTCCTACATTAAAAGGAAGAAAATTTAAACTATATGCCAAAAGCCATGGGGAGGTTTAGAAGGTTTTTGTAAGAAGTAAGGAGAAAGTATGTGATTGGATTTTTAGAAAGGTTATTCCAATACCTGGATAGCAGAAGATGGATCAAAGGGAATCAAACTAAAGACAGAAAGGCCAGTGAGGAGGCAACTGTAGTAATCCAGATAAGAGAAATGGAAAGTTAAACTAAGTCAATGCCAGGTGCAGTAAGGAGGAGAGAGAGCATCAGGTGAGAGTGAGCAGGAGAAGCCACAGGCCTGGGTTCCTGAATCTCAGTTGTCAGGCCTCGGCAGTTGGGTGGTGTGGATACCACACACCAAGAATGGGAATGCCAGGAGAGAAATGGATTTGGAGAAATATGGGGGAGCTTAGTTCTGTATATGGTGTCTTTGGTTTTGGACATACTGGGTTTGAAGAGAACAGCCAAGTACTGAGGCTTAGTAGGCAATGGATAAGTAGGCTTGGTGCTTCAGAACCCTTTGATAAGAAATCTTGCCCATTTAGAAATGAAGCTGTTTATACTTCTGGACTGGAGAAAAACTATTTTTGTTGGTTGTTTAACTAACAACTTACCCGCTCCTGTTTACCTTCTCAACTCTTTGGCAAAACCAAGTCTGTGTTAAGTTCCTGCTTTTTGATGCACTTACAGTGGTTTGTGTTTTCTGACTCAAGAAGTATGTAGAATGACTCACTTTTTCTTTGATTAGACTCAAACCTAAGAGAATGAAGAACTAGACCTTCTGGAGACCATCATATAACGAATGGCAATAATGTGGGTGATCTTTGCATTAATTATCGATAGTCATATTCAAAAGATTCACTAAATCCATCTGGAAAATGGAGACGTTTTTGAGATTATTTTGGCAATTCAAGAGTGTTATCATTGATTATTCGGTAGTGTCTGAAACAAAGACACTGCCAAAATTAGACATATACTCATTGCTTTGGCTATATTTTGAGAATTTTGTCAACGGACTGTCTTTGTGATGTCCTTCTTTTGGACATATAATAAATATACAGTAGTTATTTGAATGTGTGCATCTGGTTGCAAAATTGACATGTGTGTATATGTATAATGTGTTTCTAGTTTTACACTGTTTAGTCACTCAAAAATTTTATGATGACTCTGCAACTTTTCCCCATAGGTATCTCTGATGAATACATAACACCTATGTTTAGTTTTTATAAAAGTATTGGGGAACTGAAAATGACTCAAGAGGAGTATGCTCTGCTTACAGCAATTGTTATCCTCTCTCCAGGTAATTTCAATGTTACATTTTAATTTTTATGCCATTTTTTTCAGTATACTAGTAATAATTATTGAAAAAAGTCTGGAAAACACAGAAACAGAAAGAAAAAGTAAAGTGGCCTATAATTTTACTGTCCAAATAGAACCATTATTAACCTTTTAGTGCACTTCTTCTCAGTCTCTTTTAAAAAATCACACTTATTCATTCAATAAATGTCTATTGAACCCCTACTATGTAATAAACATGGTGTGAAACACTGGGGATGCAACAAGACATAGCTTCCAGGCAGCTGACATTCGGGTAGGATGAGAAAGATAATAAATGAAAAAACAAAAATATTTGTTCAGAAGGTGGTAAATGCTACAAAAATATAATGACAATTTAAATAAAGAGAGTGGCAGGAAAATGCTATTTTAATCTATGGTCACAGAAGACTTTTCTAAGTGTGTAGCATCGGAGCAGAAATCTAAATGAAATTACATACGTTTTAACATAATAGGGAACTTTTTTCTGAATTTATATTTCTTCAAAAGTCATTTCCCAAGTCATTAAAAATTACATTGGTAAAGTTTGTTGTAATATGTGCAACATATTCCATTGTATGAATATATAATCATTTACTTAATCTTTACCAAATGTTTGTATATTCAGGATATTTCCAGGTTTTTTTTTTCTAAAAAATGTTGAGATGAATACCTCTATCTGTAACTTTTTCTATATTTTTGGGTTACTTTAATAATCTGGAAGTCGAATGATGCCATGTTCATGATTCCTAAAACATAATTACAATGTTAGCCTTAGACCATTTTATACATTATATTGAGGCAGAAGCTAGTTGTTACTTTGATTTACCATAAAAATGATGACTCGTGACTAAAAAAACTATTCAGCAGAACCTACTAAAGTTTTGCATGGATATGCCTTATGGCCTAGTCATTTCACTTCTGAGAATATACTCGCCATAAAGGATGCTCACGTCCACCACAGGGGTTTTGACTGGAAGGGAAATGAGGGAGCCTTTTGGGAAGCATTACATGTGTTGTATCTTGATCTAGTTATAATTACATGTGTGTGTCCATAAAAATTCGTCAGGTTGAACACTTAAATTTTACCTTTTGTGAACAACATTTGTAAACATACACGTTAGCTAACGTTGCTATAATTATGTCAAATTCATGCTTTTCCACTTTTTAATTTTGTCATTTTATTTAAAACTTCAAAACAGATAGACAATATATAAAGGATAGAGAGGCAGTAGAAAAGCTTCAGGAACCACTTCTTGATGTGCTACAAAAGTTGTGTAAAATTCACCAGCCTGAAAATCCTCAACACTTTGCCTGTCTCCTGGGTCGCCTGACTGAATTACGGACATTCAATCATCACCATGCTGAAATGCTGATGTCATGGAGAGTAAACGATCACAAGTTTACCCCGCTTCTCTGTGAAATCTGGGATGTGCAGTGATGGGCATCACAGGGGAGGGGTCTAGCTCCTTTTTCTCTCTCATAATATTAATCTGATGTATAACTTTCCTTTATTTCACTTGTACCCAGTTTCACTCAAGAAATCTTGATGAATATTTATGTTGTAATTACATGTATAACTTCCACAACTGTAAATACAGGGCTAGAGAGAACAACTTTCTCTACGCTGTGTTTTAAAAGGCTCCAGGGAATCCTGCATTCTAATTGGCAAGCCTTGTTTGCTTAATTAAATTGATTATTACTTCAATTCTATCTGTTGAACTAGGGAAAATCTCATTTTCCTCTTCATCTTACCGTACTGCATATATTTTATTAAAGAGTTGTATTCAATTTTGGCAATAAAGCAGACATAATGACAATAGGCTTTTCTTTGGGAACAAAATTTGATACATATACAAACTAATTTCTTTAAATGTTGAAAGGCTATTGAATCTGAGGGGATAATTTGCAGAAAGATGCTGTCTCTCATTACATTAGTGGCACTTTTCTCATCCCTGGAAAAGTCCTGGTGAATAGTCATTCATTTGTAACAGCCCTTTGATCATTTTCTTTTCTTTGAAGTTCGAAGAGAATACCATACAGAAAAGTTAGCAATTTTCACACAAAATATTCCCTAAAGCAATCCCTTTCCCGCATAGTCTTGAGAAAGGATTCACAAATTCAGAGTATGCAAATAACTGCAGTGATGGGACCTTCCCTTTCCTGTCTTAAACGTGCTCACCATTGGCTTCATTGTATCCAATCAATCTATTTCTGTTTCCTTTTGCTTTTTGATGCTATTCCTATAGCTGGGTGCACAGCTGCTGTATACTTACCCCAAAGCAGGAATTAGTTTATTTCCTTCCTTCATTGTTACACTGTTGCATTCTTCTCCCCATTGTCCTTTGGTGAATACAGTTAAACACTTTCTATAAGTAATGGGCTTTTATCTCCCTTTCTCCTAAAGTTAGCCAAAGTGGAGCATGTTTAGCAAGCAGTTTTTTTTTTTTATATATCAAAATACTAGGACAAACCTGGAATTCTAAAAATAACCAGTCAGTGGAAAACTGATTGGGTTAGAGCTAGCATCAGTTGGATTCTGATACAACAAAAATGTCTTGAGTTCCCCATACAAGATTTATTTGCTAAATTCCATGGATGATACAAAAATGATTAAGACCCAGTAACAGGGCTGAGCCCAGTGGCTCACACCTGTAATATCAGAACTTTGGGATTTTGAGGCTTGAGGATTGTTTGAGCCCAGGAGTTTGAGACCCGCCTGGGCAACACAGGGAAACCCTATCTCTACAAAAAATAAAAATAATAAAATCAGCCAGGTGCAGTGACTTGTACCTGTGGTGGTACCAGCAACTTGGGAGGCTGAAGCAAGAGGATTACTTGAGCCCAGGAGTTGGAGACTGCATTGAGCCATGATTGCACCACTGCACTCCAGCCTGGGCAACAGAACAACACCCTGTTTTCAAAAAAGAAAAAGAAAAAGAAAAAACCCAGTAACTGCCTGGAGGGAGTTATAAAGGCTGCAGTGGAACTTGCTGTAGGTTTACCCTGGAACCCAGAAAAGTTTCATAGAGGAGCTGGTACTTCTGCTGGGCTTCAAGGGATAGCCCCAAATTCAGTGGGTCCAGGTAGGAGGGAAGGGGTTCAAGGTGAAAGAGGTGGCAGAAGCAAAAGGAAGAAGGTGATGAATTGTACAGATATTAAAAGACCATACAAATCTGGGGAGGGAGGGAGGGAGGGAGGGTTTAGAGTCTCTTTCTAAATTTCAATTTCACCATTGTGAAATGCAGACATCAATGCTTACTGTTTAAGGGGATTTAGCTTATTAATCAAAAGTAAGTGGGAAGTAGCAGGCCCACCAGCTTGGTGAGAAAAGGACACTGAAGAAAGAAGTAAATTTCTGAATGCCTGAAAAGGTAGCTCTAGTTCATGGGGGCTGAGTGCAGTTTGGTGTCTCCAGATCTCACGATATCTGTGCAGATAGCACTGAGAAATGAGCCCAGAACTGGTGGGGCACTGGAGGCAGAGCAAGAAGGTTAGTTAATCCTATAGGTCTGGATTTATTCAAGTGGTTAAGACCTTGTAAAAGCAAACAATAATGTTCATCACATGGAAAACTCATAGTGATACTATTAGTGTCAGGCCTCCAAGTCCCAGCCTGGCCATTATAGCCTTGGTGACCTGCACAGACACCTCCTGATGGTCTCCAGGAGCCAGAAAGTCTGAAGTAACCAGATGGCCACAAAGACACATGAAACGACTAGTTTCTGCCTCAACTATTTGCTCTCCCCCTGCAACATTTGAACATTGTTCCTGCTCAGACTTGTGAAATATCCCCCTAGACACTGGGTTTCTCAAGACCCCCTACCCCTGTAACTATGTAATTTACCACACCCTTCCCTATACTTGCAACCGGTAACTCCCACCCTCATGACCATGCCTATTTGTAATAGATAACCCCTACCCTTGTGACCATGCATCCCATGAAGCCCCCCCTCCCCAAAATAGATTACCACCTTTAAATGACCATTTGCCCCAACGCATATAACCAGTCCCCATTTTTACGCCCCTCACCTAACTCCTTCCTTGGACTTGGCCTGCTTGCACCCAAATGCAAAACAAAATGGCCTCCTTGCCCATACAAAGCCTGCCTACTGGTCTCTTTATGTGAGCAATGCACCTAACAATAAGAAATACATATCGTATTTTTGTTCCTGGTTTCTGACACAGCTTCTAAAAGCCTTGGGATTTCCTGAGTGGTAGGGGTAATAAGAACATCTGTTGGTGGAAATAAAATACAAATGAAAGAGGAGTAACTCCCTTGCTCTGATATGCACTATTACGGGTCATTTTCCACACTAGTAGAGTGATTTTTTGTTCTAAAATGCAAATCTGGTTACGTGCTCCCTGTCCCACCTAATGATTTCCCATTGGCTTCAGCAGAGACCTGGAGCTCCTTGGGAGGGCAGTCGGCTATTGAGACCCTCTTCCCCATCCAGCACCTGCCGCCACTATCTGATCCTACAGGTTTTGTCTCCTGCTTTAGCTATACTCTAGGCTCCCAAATAAATTGTGTTCCTCAGAGGTTTATCTTCTCTTACACCAAATGAGAAAGAAAGGATAGAGACAGGGGAAAATAAAGGTGTTTGCTTGTTTTCTTCCCTTACCCTTTCACCCCAGGCCCCAAGTAGGGGTGATTTTGTGTCTTGGGGTTATACTGGTAATGTCTGGAGACAGTTTTGGTTTTCATAATCTGGAGTTAGAGGTGCTACTGGAATCTAGTGGATGGGAGCTAGTGATGCTGCTAAGCTTCCCACATGCACAGAATAGCACCCCGACACCCAGGGATTATCTGGCCCTAAATGTTAACAGTGCTGAGGTTGAGAAACCCCACTTTCTCCAGTCCTGTTTTAGTTCATTAAGGCTGCTGTAAAAATATACCATAAGCTGGGTAGCTTATAAACAACAGGAATTGACTCCTTACAGTTTTGGGAAGTCCAAGATGAAGGCACTGGCATATGCAATGTCTGGTGAGGGCTTCCTGATTCCTAGATGGCACCTTCTAAATGTGCCCTCACATGGTGAAAGGCATTAGTTAGCTCTCTGGGGTCTCTTTTATAAGGGCACTAATCCCAGTCATGAGGCCTTGCCTTCACGGCCTAATCGCTTCCCAAAGGCCCTACCTCCTAATACTATCAATTTAGGGGTTAGGATTTCAACATGACTTTTAGGGGGACACAAATATTCAGACCATAGGATATCCCAAGAAAACATGACCCCGGCTGGGTACAGTGGCTCACGCCTGTAATCCTAGCACTTTGGGAGGCCAAGGCGGGCAGATCATGAGGTCAGGAGATCGAGACCATCCTGGCCAAATGGTGAAAACCTGTCTCTACTTAAATACAAAAACATTAGCTGGGTGTGGTGGCATGTGCCTGTAATCCCAGCTACTCAGCTGAGGCAGGGGAATTGCTTGAACCCAGGAGGCAGAGGTTGCAGTGAGCTGAGATCACACCACTGCACTCCAGCCTGGGCAAGAGTGAGACTATGCCTCAAAATAAATAAATAATAAAAAGAAAATATGACCCCTACACTGTACTCTCTCTTGACCTGATCTAGCATCTAGCTTCAACATAAGTCTTGTGATGGTGGTTCTCTAGTTCATAACCAATATTGTGGACAACCATTTTATTAGTGAATCCAAATACTGAATATGAGCAACTGTTTTTGAAATTTTGTTTTCTTTCTTTTTTGTTCAGAATGAGAAACTGATTTCACTTATTGATCCTATAGCAGCCGAATTTTACTTTTCCTCAGATTTTCATAAAATTACAATTTATTCTTCTTTCCCTATCATAAGAAATAATAAATTCAGCACACTATCACATATCACATTTGGGTATTAGATGACTTATTTTTGGACACTCAGAATCCACTGCCTTTACTTCTATAAGAGTACTCTGATTTCCTCAGGAGAATCACCGTCTTCCTGTCTCTTAGTCCACGTGTTTTAAGTGGAGTTGATTCCACCCCAACCTCCTGTTGTAAATGTGACTCAGGCATAGCTAATCAGAATGACTCGTGAATTTGCAGTGCTTCTCACAAGAGCAGGCAGAACATACTTCCCCAACCACTGATGTTGAGCTTGTCCTTGTGGCTTGCTTTGGCAATGGAATGTGGGTGGAAGTGAGAGTGTCACTTCCGAGCTATAGCCTTAAGAGACATCACATGTTTCTGCTGCTGCTCTTGCACTTCTGCTATCTGCCATGAGACGGGAATGCCTGGATAGTTGCAAGTCTCAGAATCAGACAGAAGGAGTACACCTAAACCCAACCTACAGCTTGAAGCAGCATCCCTCCCCTCTACCATGAGCTAACAAGCAGATCAACAAACAAGAAAAATCAATTTTTAGTACTGTAAGTCATTGAAAGTTTGGAGTTGTTTGTTATATGGCATTATCACCACAGAAGTCTAGCTAATATATCCTATTTGTGTTGAGATCTGTTCCCTTCTTTCCCTTCTCTGTTCATCTGGCGGGAAGGGCTAATCCCTGATGGGTTACATTTTGTAGGTTTCTCTATTAACTGGCTTTGGGCAGGTTCAATCAATGGAAAGTATTGATGGGAGATTGGAGGATGAGGAGAAGAAAAAAGCCAGGATATTACTCCCTCACTCTCTTGGCCTCAGATTGCATCTCTGGTAAAGATTGCATCTCCTACATGGCTCCCAGTCCCACTGGGAACATCCCCCTCACCCCCGCCAGTGCTGATGGCCCTGATTTCTACATTCCTCTTTTGAACTCTAGGTCCTAGAATTGCAGTGGCTTCCTACTGTTACTAATCTCTGAGTTGTTTTACCTGTT